TCTTGGGGCTTTTTTCAGCCATATCTGTCTCTGCAAACAGCAACAAAGAAAACTGACTTAAAGAAGCCTAGCTCAGCAAAATTCATTCTGAGGGATAAAGCAGCAATCCCTTTTCTGGAAGGTGATAAATCAGTTGATAATTTACTGACTAGAGAGGTAAGGAATGGAGAGAATGACTACCAGAAAAGACCTTTGAAAAGTGGAATGCTTGAAAAGGAATTGTTTCATCTGGTATCTAATTTAGGCTGTTTCTACTTCTTTCTTAGACCTGAGGAAGGGCAGTTTACACCTGAACACGCTCATCTAACATCTCTTCCAACTGTTCAGTTGGTCCAATAAAATATATTGCCAAAAACACCCTTACTTCTTTGCTTGTAAACACAAAATAATGGCTGCTCAAGATGCCAGATAGTCTCTGGGGTACTACAGGGGAAAAAAAGCTGGTTCTTGTAGCACCCAGCAATAGGTTTTTTACTTTTCCATTCAGTTGAGCAAGAGGTTTCATAGTGATGGAAGAGTTCCTTTAAAAGGCGTATGTTTGAAGCTTCATTCTTAAATTCATGCCAACAACTGTGCCCAGTCCACCCAACTCTAAATGGTCACCTGATACGGGAATCAAACATGACCAAAGGTGATGCTAGCCACATCACTCCTGTAGCCATTAGCTACAGAAACTGATGTGCCTAAATAATATTAGTCCAACGAGCTATTAGAAGCAAAAGACATTTGACTCTGAATTTTTTTATGCTTTTGTTGTAGATGGTGCTGCCTATCTGTTAAATTGATGACCCTGATGCTTTAGAAACTTGACTGTTTAAAAATGTTTATAGGACACATTTATGCAATGTAGTTTGCTTCCTTTTCCTTAATCCAGTTGTAATCTGGTTTTGTCTCATTCATAGTGGCTGGAGTGGACTGTTGTATCATGGTCTATTCTGGTCATGTGGCTTTCACTGGAAATTGCATGGTATCCATTAGTACTCTAGAAAGGGTGCATTTATAGCAGTATGAAGTTTGGTGGTAACATTGGCTTGGGCAGATTGCTGTTGTTATTTCTTGCTTTGGTATGTCTTAGGCAACTCAATGGGAAAAAATGCCACTGGCTATCCTATACTAACTAGCAATATGGATCGGAAATTTTCTTAAGTATCAAGGTAGAAGTTTCCAAGGCATAGATAAGCCTTGAAGTGGGATTGAGGAAAGAGAAGACTCAGTTTCTTTAAATATTAAACAGTCTGTAACTAATAACTAGTTTAATAAACATTTAACCAGGATCAGCAGTTTTTAAAAAAGCTTCTAGGGAAAGCACAGCATGTTACAAGAAATAGTTATGGTATTTATTTAGTGTGTTCTGGCCTTATATCCCAGCATGCTGATGGATGATGATTTTTCAGATAAATATTAAAACATGGGGTCCTAACCATTTGTTATTTGAACAAGTTTTAAGCAAAGTTGGGCTCAGTTTTGAGCAAATTGCTTTATTAAAACCATTAAGCTCAATGGTTGTGACTGAACTTCAGTGTGCAGGGAAATTCAGCTTTTCAGTGAGTTCAAGTTTTTACAAAATGGGTCAGGCTCATAAGTAGTCAGGGCCTTGAGAGAGATGATGCAAATCCAGATTGTAGCAGCCTGGATGAACCTTTTTGGCAATGTGAAATTGATGAGATCCATTCAGCAGGTCTCCTTTGCCAAACTCCTCTCTTGCCTCCCTGTTTATTATACCTCAGGGGCTTGCTCTCATTCTGCTCTTTTCCATATGCTTTCCGTATCTTCATCAAGATCTGATTAAGTGAGCTCCAGCTCATAAAAGCTTTTGCATCTCTGATTTAGTTAGTCTCTAAAGTGCATCTGTACCCTGCCTTCTGCCTGATTTCAGACTAATATGGCTAGCCACCTCTCTCTTTCCTTATTTGACTCCCATCTTCTCTCTATTTTTTCTTTCCTCACAATCTGGCTATTGTTTGTGTTCCTGCCATTCAAAACAACCTGCCTGGCTTTTCTCTGCCTCCTCACCTTTCTCTCTTCCAGATTTTATCCTGAACTTTTTAACTTTCTCCCTCCTTCTGGTCAGTTTTTTCCCCTATGACTTATGCCACACATTGTCCATCTCCTTAAATTATTGCACTTGTCAAAACAGCCTGGATTACCATTTTTTGATAGAATCGGTATAAAAGAAAGTTTAACTTCAGAGAATTATTATTAATATCTGCCAAACTTCACTAATGGAAGAATGGATAAAGCTACTGTTACCATTCAGGTCAAAGGTCCCAGTGAGTGGGGACAAGTTCACTGAGTAAATGGCAATCCTTCAAGGAAAATTTATAGGACAAAGATCTGGAAGGAACTTCCTGAAGTTTGACTCTAGCTCTTCACTATCATAGGCATCATTCAATTAGGGTGTATTTCATAAAAGTGCATAGCCTCCGAACTGAAAAAAGGTTTACCAGGCATATGCACTTACCTGAACTCAGTTTAAATAATACTCACTGGGCGAGTCTATACATGACACTATGTCACTTTAGCAACACACTACAGCAACATAGTGTTGACAGGCAAAAACTGTGATGCTGCAGGTACATCGCTGTAGCAACACACTCCCGCATTATAGTGTGCTGCTCCGGTGACATAGCAGCTAAAAATATCTGTACACAACTGGCACCGTGCAGTATGAGCTGTTACTGCGCTGTCATTTAATACTTTGAAAAGGAAGTACTAAACGATGGTGCAGTAACAATGGCACTGTACGGCCAAGTGTAGACGTGCCCATTAGGTGCATCTACATACAATATTTACTCCACGGTAGACTAAGTATCTTTGCGGTAAACATTGCAGGTCTACGTGAGTGCCCCTATTAGGCTGGAGTATACTAATTAACTCCACAGCAGGATAGGACTTGCAAGTACTATCCTGCTGTAGAGTTTTTTACTCTGAAACAGTGCTTATATAGACAATGCCCCGGCTGGGTGAGGCATGAAAGTGCTTCATTGCAGGGGCTGCCTGCTGGCTGGCCCTCCTCTAAAGCACCCTCTTGCCACAGCCAGACCCTCCATAGCATTTTGAGCTGGGGGAACCAGCCCCAGGCTGGCAGGCTGACACCCTAGGCTCCCTGCTACAATCCCAGGGTGCACATGTAAACAGTGCACCTGGGAGCAATAAACTCTGGAGCACTAGGCTCCGCAGTTTATTCATGTGCATTATTATGCACGTGTAGATGTGCCTACTAAGTACAAGACCAGCCCAAGCTTTGCATGTGTGAATGTCTCCATACCAGAGCATAATTAGGTTACCAAGTAGATGGTGAGGCTAAAGGTTTCCTATATACTTAAGCCAATCATGCACTTAACCAATTTGCAGGTAACTGGAGTTTGTTACAAAAAAATAAGGACTGGTGTTATGTTATGCAGTTAAGTGAATTATGTGCTTATCCACTAAACATGAGTACATTGTACAGAAGCTTATCAAGCCCTGTTTTAAAATTAGTTTTTTGCACTGTCTCTGCACTCTTATTAAGCCACTCCTATAAAAAAATTAAATGCTGTATAGGTACACTAATATTTATAATGATTGATGTAACATAGATATACATCTGTGCAACTAAGTATTTCTGTGATGGCTAATTTTGCACTAAATACTTGTAGAGCATTTTTGTGACATATCGGGGAAATGCATCAATAAGGAAAATGTGTCAACAAAATAGCTGTGGGTAGATTTTCTTGAATTCCATCAGTTTATTTTGTGGTTCAGTTGGTAGCACCTGTTCATGAAGATATGTAGCATACATACCACACCCCACCATGAACTGCTGTTTTTATGGAATGATTTCTCTTTTCTTGCTCTCCCTTAAGGTCTAGGAATAAACGCAAGAGACTGTTTCACTTGTCAATGATCTCTTCTTGCCTAATTCCAGCAAAATTAGTTTCATACAAATGTTAAAAACAAAACAATCCAAACATTCAGATCATCTTACTAAAAAGAACAGCTAGCTGTCAGAGAAATCGCCACATGTATACACACATTCATCATCACCACCATGCAAGTCAGCAGGCAACCAGGAAGTACTTCAAGGAAGCAAAGGGAATCAGGATATGTGGACACTTTTACGTGTGCTGTGAGCAGGAGGTACTTTAATTAGAGCAGCTCCAAGAACCACTCTAATTAAATCACCACAATGCTTCATGTATTAGTTAGTGTCCCCACATTTCAAAATGGCTGTGGGGACACTGGAACTAAAGCTTTAGTTCAACGAGCTTTAGTTCCAGTGCCTTGGCCACTGTTTTGAAATGCGGGGATGGTAATACACAAGACACGGAGGCTGGCGTAATTACCACGCTCCAGTAAACTCAATTAATTGAGTCTGCTCTGACATGCTGCAATTACAGTGCATCAGAGCAGCCCCACAGCATGTCTACAGGCATCCATTATCTCAGTCTATACTCTTCATAGACCTTGTCTGCTTCATTACTATATAAGTGAACCTAATAAAGTTGATTTAAAACGCAACTGTATTCACTTATCACATATTTACATTTAGTATATGACTATAAGCTGTGTAAGTCCTCTTGTTCTAAGTGTCAGCTATGTACCTACTATGCTTTGGGAGCAATATGACTTTGATACTATAGAATAAGGGTGGGCAAAATTCAGCCAGCCAAGCCATTCTATCCGGCCTGCGGCGCCCCTAAAAATTTAGAAAATTAATATTTAGCTGCCCCTGGCTGCCTGTCATGCGGCCCTTGATGGCTTGCCAAAACTCAGTAAGCAGCCCTGTGCCCGAAATAATTGCCTGCCCCTGCTATAGAGACAAGTCCTGAAGATTTAACTCAGCCCACAGTAGCAGAACTCCCATGGGGGTGAGCTATCCTCTTAGTTAAATCATTTTTGCACTTTTATTTTCTGAATTTTTTTTCTTTCCTTGCAGTTTTCCATTTATCCCACAAAGTCACTCATGTGGTTCCTGAGAGCGCTCTGCTGATTGTCCTCGGCCTCTTCCTGGGTGGGATTGTATGGGCAGCAGACCACATTGCCTCCTTCACCTTGACACCAAATGTATTTTTCTTCTATCTACTGCCACCCATTGTCCTTGATGCTGGCTACTTCATGCCAAACAGGTTATTTTTTGGAAACCTTGGCACCATCCTTTTGTACGCTGTCATTGGAACGGTCTGGAATGCTGCTACAACAGGCTTGTCTCTCTATGGTGTCCACCAGACTGGAATCATGGGTAAGTACACTTTTCAAGCAAGAAACTGCTAATTAAACTGGGTACTGCCTAGCACAATAGAGCTGTATCACAGGTAACAGATGTTTCTCATAGAAGTATTAGCTATGGCTGTTTGAATGTTTTATGAAGTTTCAGAGTAAGCAGAGAACTCTTCCCAGAGTCAGATAGAGTAGGGATTTGACCCTCAGCTTCCCACACCCTAGCTGCATGCCCTGAACATGTACGTATCTCTCTAACCTCTTACTCATGTATCTCCCTGAACTGAAAAACTCAGGGCTTGATCTATTAATGGACATCTGTTTCTGTGGAAATGTTCAAAAGGCTAGTTTTCCTTTAATTTTAATGGAAACTGAGAGGCCTAATGGAGGATTGCCATAATTTGAGTAGCCAAATGTTTAGATTTTCTTTCATCTTATAGATACAACTGATAGTATTCCCAGTTGTGCACCTACCATTGAATTCAGATGCAGAACTTGATTGGCTGTTTATTTTTAAATTATACCCAAATAGATTTGATTTTTTTTTAAATAAGGCAAATTATAAATTCTAACTTTTCAAAGCTTTTAAGCTTTCTCAGAGCCTACTCTATCAGATAGCAAATTCATAGATTCATAGACACTATGGCTAGAAGGGACCTTGAAAGATCATCGAATCCAGCCCCCTGCCCCAGGGGCAGGAAGTCAGCAGGGATCATAGGATCCCAGCAAGATAAACATCCAAATGTGTCTTGAAGGCATTCAAAGTAGATGCTTGAACCACCTCCGGCAGCAGTCTATTCCAAACCTTGGGGGCTCGGACAGTAAAGAAGTTCTTCCTTATGTCCAGCCTAAAATATAAGATGCTACATACTAGGCACATCTACACGTGCAGTTAGCATGTATTAATAAACTCTGGCATAGTTTGTATCAGAGTTTATTTCCCCCAGGCACAACTTTTACATGTGCATCCAGGACCTCAGCTCGGTGAGCTGGGGTGAAGCAGCCCTGGATTGGCAGGGAGCCTGGGGGGTCATCCTGCCAGCCTGGAGCTGCTCTGCCCCTACTTAATGTGCTGTGCAGGGGCTGGCTGGGGCACAAGGGTGCTACAATGTGGGGCTAGCCATTGGTCAGCCCCCTGCTTGTAGCACCCTCATGCTCCAGCCAGCCCCAGTCACTGTCTACATGTGCATTGCAGTGCATGGAACTACTCCGCTGTAGGATAATACTTGTCCAGGACACTAGTATCCTACAGCAGCGTTAATTAACTTACTATTCCCTAATACAGGCACACATGTAGAGGGTGATGCTTTGCTGCAGAAGTAATTAGTCAGCTCCACAGTAAAGTGCACATGTATATACACTCACTGGTTGCTAACTGATATGGTACATCCTCAGTTTTCTGTATCCCTTTTGGAATGAACCCATTTGGATAGCTGAATTCCTTCAGATAAGTGAAGATGCTGTCTCTTGTGAATTCCATATGCTAAAACATGATGCAATGTGTAAAACCATACCAACAGTAAGAGATATTAAATACAGTAAAACTTAAGAGATCAGTTTGTTATACAGTGCCAGCAGTTACCACTTGCTGTATCAAACTTAAGAGTAAAGATTCAGCATTGTATTAAATTAAGCTTAAGAGAACAACATACAGTAACAGTAGTTACAATAGGACCATACAATAGCAACAGTTACAAGTTACTATACTGACTCAAGCCTAGGAGTAAAAGCACAGTAGTATAGTAAATGAAGCTTAAAAACGAACAATGGGAGCGTCTACATGTAATGCTACATTGCTGGACCAATGCACTATGGCGACATAGCATCGGGGGTCACAAACCATGATGCTGCAGCTATGTTGCTGTAGCGACACACTCATTATAGCATGTTGCTATGGCAACGTAGCAGCTAAAAATTATTGTGCTCAGTTATACAATTATGCAGTTGCACAACAATTCCAGCTACAGGTACAAAGCATGGAGGATGTACTATAGTTTTCTGCAGCAAGAAAGTCCTTATTTAAGAGCAGGTTTCTTCTAGTTCTGATTATTTAATTTGGGCAGGGGAGGCACTTTTGCTGTTTCTAAGCCTGTATAAAGACAATGTTTAGGCTATTGACTTAATATCTGGATTTTTGTAAAGAGCCAACAAGTAGAGGTCAAATGAATACAAGAAAAAAAATCTTTCATTGTCTGAACTACATAAAAGAAAAATGAGAAAGCTATTCCACTGGCAACAGCAGCCTATGAGAAAAAGATGTTCCTTGCAAAGCAAAGTTAGGAGGAGGGAATCTGTTTCCTTTGAGGATCTGGTTGCATGTATTTATCACAAACCTGGATTAAAATTGTGGCAGGTTTACACTGGCATATGGTTTCAGTAAAGCTGGGCAGCCATGTTGGTAGGCTCGTTTCTCAATTTCACAGTATTGTTCTGGGTGTTTGCACTAGGGTTTAATGCTCTTTACAAGAAGGCATTATGGGAACATTATAGTAGAACTATGCAACTACTACAAAAAAAATCTTTTATTTTTGCTCTTACAGATACGTGCCTTTAGTGTAGTAGACAGTGTATTGGATTACCTTTTACCTGTACAACGTGACATGAGCACTGTTTGTGGGAGCATTGCTCTCCAGTTTTAAGACAAGCCTCAAGCAGTGTTGTCCAGCTCCATTTAATGTTACTAATCCATCATACTGATGTGTCCTATATGACAAATATGCAGGTTTCCAAAGAGTCTAAATTTAGACTGTGTTGCCACTGCAGGGGTTCCTGCTGCTGCTTTAACTACCATGGCAGGCCAGGGCCACTGGTGTGAATGTTGCTCAGCTGGAGGAAGGACCTTTTGTGTGGCTGGATATACAAGTTCTGTTTCAGAAAGCCACACCAGGGGTTTTGCCAGCAGAGCTGTATTATCAACAGAGTGTGACCATGAAGCTTTGCCACCAGAACTGCATAATGTAGACGAGACCTTTGTTTTCTTTTTCTTCCTTTAAGAATAGAAAGCTTCTAGTATGCTTGTGTAAAGTACCTTCATAATTCGAACAGAGCATAACCAAATGGTATTGTTTTCCTGAGTTTGTAGATGGCCTGAAAGAACAATTCAGTCAGGTGATTCATAGAGGATGACCTATCAGTCCCACTAAACTCAGTGAGGTGCTGATACATGTAAAGACTAACCATGATTCTTTAAAATGTCATCATTAACTAGGCGAAATCTTCTATTGGACCAACTGTATAGTAGGGAGAGCTGTTGAACAAGCTTGTGGTGACCTGAGGATGAGCAACTTGATAACCAAAAGCATGTCCAACAGCTCTCCCAACTATACAGCTAGTCTAATAAAAGATATCAAAAACTCTTTAGTTTTCTACATTTCCTGGACCATTGTGGATACAATGATTCTTCAGTCTGACTGCTGTCATTTATTATTTAATTAACGATCATTGTAGCAGATGGAATAATGTAGAGGTTGGGACTGAAGTCCGGAATGGGAAAGGGGAACTGCTTTTGGAGGAAAGAATAGAAGACATACAAAGACGGTAAAAGAAGAAAATACAGAAGAAGGAAAATGATGAAAGAAATAAAAATGGATAGAAATAGTTGCCCATGTAGCAAAGCTAAATAAGAGAATGAGATGCCAACAAAATAAAAAAAGCCCTTTTAATAGCTAGAGCTGGTAAATTTTGTTTTTGTTTTGAAGAGTTCATAGCAGAGCAATTAAAAAGTGTGTGTCAGGTTTTTTTAACCATGGATAGTTTTTTAAAATGACATTGAAATGATTTGGTAAATGGCCCTTCTTGACAAATATATTTTATATAAACTTGTAATTAAATTTTAGAATTTAGTGTTAACTTTTTTAATATTGTACTTCTTATTTTTTCACTAAACATTGATTTAGCTAAAAGGTCGTTTTCCTTCCCTCTGCAACCCTCCCTCAGAGTAAAAAGGTTCAATCAGGTGTAGTAATAATAAAAAGTTTAGTTCATTATAAAGGTGATATTTTCTGCTTGATCCTATCTGTGATAGCAATGGGGGTTCTACCATTGATTGAAGGAATGGCATCTAGTGGAATCAACAACCTTTTAGAAGTGGCGGCTGCTTTAACGAAACTATGTCTGAAGACTGACGACCGCTAACGGTGCAGCCTCTGCTCCTTCCACAGTGCTGACCGGCTGTACCATGGGTTTCCATACCCTGTTCTAAAGATCTTTGTTTTGGTGTGAGATTCGTCTTTTTCTACAGAATGTCTTTGATACTCCCCCCAGCTGGCAGCAGTATCTGCATCACAGTCATCTGATGGTCCTGACTGCTTGAAACATTTCAAATGAGATTACACAGTTTATACTGTAGGGACCAGGCTTCACTGGCAGGAGGCATGTTTTATAACCTGCTAGAGCTCTTTCAGTTCTAATTTCAGTTATGGAGAAGGCCAGAAAAGTTCATCCCTGATTCAAACTATGTCACTTGCAAACAGAGCTAAGCAGGGCTTGAAAATTTTATGTGGTATCTCTTCACTTGAGGATTACATCTAATAGCCACAGACTGATACTTAAGATTGCAGAGAGCCCTAGGTATGATGCATAATGGCCCCATCTACACGAGATGCTGACTGCGCAGTAGCTCATTACTCCTACTCAGTAGCATTACATGTCAGTAACTCCAGTTACTCCACAGTCATTTAATACTTTTTTATACAAGTACTAAATGACTGCACAGTAACAACTGTTCAGTCAGCATCTCATGTAGATGCAGCCAATGAGAAGCTAAGCTGTCTCATTCCAGTTGCCGGGAAGGGAGCTACTGGAATCTTACTAGGAACCAGCTGAAGGACTGGGCAGTCTTTCATGAAAGCCTATGCTAAGGGCTGTGGGCAGCTGTTCATTTATTGCTACAAGTGCCATAGCACTTTTAAGCACTTCAGAAATGTAGTAGTGCCAGGTGTGAATGGATTTGCAGAGGCTCCCCTGTCTGGAACACTGCAACCTCATCATGAAAGCGTTCTGGGACATGCTATCCAGCCACAT